GTAGGTGAGTATCTATCTAGTCTGCTGCTATGTTTTCTTTTGTTTTATTTGTGGCCAACACATTTTTATGAAGAAATATAGAAATTAAAACTCAGTGAAATCTTGTCTTGTGAGGTAGAACCTACATGTACTTTAAGCATGCCTTATGGACTTTAATTTCGCAAATCTTTACAAAATGTGTAAATTGTGAAATTTAATCACCACAAAATATATGGCATGTACAGTAATTTGGTAACACCAAATGTATCAAAAGTGAATGTTCATACAAATGACTCACCATTGATTTCTGTACTGTGGGTTAGTAAGTATCTCAGTTGCAATCCTAGCCCTATTGATTGGTGGATTGGAATACATTGGACGTATGACAAGCTTCAAGTGTGACTCAACAATCCTTTTCTCATCAACAGATGAGCATACAATAGTAGCAGTCCCTACTCTCTCACCTACAATGGAAGCAAAAATTGGGTTTTCCACAAAGCTTAATGTTAAGTGAGCTAAAATGCAGAGCTGTTATATAGCATATGGAGCACCTTTGAAAATTCATAAAAATTCAATTTTGATCAGAATGAGCTTCACTACACAACATAAAAGCATGCATGGTACAAGATGATTTATTTGCAAGGAATTAATATTGGCGATTGACGGTACTATGAAGAAATCGCTAATATAAAATCCGCCATTTTGTTTCAATCTGAGCATGCTCAATGGCACATGGCACAAAATCGCCAATATAAAATCCGCCAATTTCATTCCACAGGCAAATTCGCCAAATTTTACTCCCACTAATAAATTATCTTGTATGGTATTTATATTTTTAAATTATAAAAACATAGAATTCTCTCCTTTTCAATTTAAGCAAAATTTGGCCCAAGACCATGGTACTACAGTACAGGGACATTGGCCCAATTTTTTAGCAACTTTAAAAATTCGTAAAAAAATTCAATTGTGATTGTAATCAGCTCAAACTTTCTACATAACACAGAAGCATATAATTGCATTTTTAAAAACATAAAAATTGAGGATTCTCTCCTTTTCAATTGGCAAAATATGGCCCGAGACTATGTACTACAGTACATGATCTGAGGCCAAATTTTACAACTATAGTACAAAGACTTTGGCTCAACTTTGAACAACTTTAAAAATTGATAAGTATTAGCATTGCTCACCATACAGTCCAAAATTTTTGGAGAAAGTCTGACAAATGGCTAAATTGTTTTCATCCTCTACCAATCTTCTTATACCAGTAGCATCTTTCTCATGACAACCACAGGCAAAGCCTTGATAAACATTATCAATTACAACAAAGTGGCCACAATCCTATTTAATTATGATAAACAAGATCTCTGTATGTATCAAGCAATACAAACCTTGCATATCTTTGATATTTCCTTCCATTCTTCAACCTAACAAAAGGTAAATACTATATAGCTGGAAAGTTTCGTGGCCAAAAACACTTCGTGGTTGTCATCGTTTGGAATGACACCACAAAACTAAAAGCCAGGAAATATTTGCAGGTTAATGAGAGGCGTGGAAGCTTCACTGATGAT